GAGCCATTCAATCGGTAGTAGCGACGGGCGGTGTGTACAAAGGGCAGGGACGTAATCGGCACGAGCTGATGACTCGTGCCTACTAGGCATTCCTCGTTGAAGAGCAATAATTGCAATGCTCTATCCCCAGCACGACAGGGTTTAACAAGATTACCCAGACCTCTCGGCCAAGGTGATGTACTCGCTGGCCCTGTCAGTGTAGCGCGCGTGCGGCCCAGAACATCTAAGGGCATCACAGACCTGTTATTGCCGCGCACTTCCATCGGCTTGAGCCGATAGTCCCCCTAAGAAGCCAGCGGCCCGCAAATGCGGACCGGGCTATTTAAGGGCCGAGGTCTCGTTCGTTATCGCAATTAAGCAGACAAATCACTCCACCAACTAAGAACGGCCATGCACCACCATCCAAAAGATCAAGAAAGAGCTCTCAATCTGTCAATCCTTATTTTGTCTGGACCTGGTGAGTTTCCCCGTGTTGAGTCAAATTAAGCCGCAGGCTCCACGCCTGGTGGTGCCCTTCCGTCAATTTCTTTAAGTTTCAGCCTTGCGACCATACTCCCCCCAGAACCCAAAAACTTTGATTTCTCGTAAGGTGCCGAACGGGTCATAATAGAAACACCGTCCGATCCCTAGTCGGCATAGTTTATGGTTAAGACTACGACGGTATCTGATCGTCTTCGATCCCCTAACTTTCGTTCCCTGATTAATGAAAACATCCTTGGCGAATGCTTTCGCAGTAGTTAGTCTTCAGCAAATCCAAGAATTTCACCTCTGACAGCTGAATACTGACGCCCCCGACTATCCCTATTAATCATTACGGCGGTCCTAGAAACCAACAAAATAGAACCACACGTCCTATTCTATTATTCCATGCTAATGTATTCGAGCAAAGGCCTGCTTTGAACACTCTAATTTTTTCACAGTAAAAGTCCTGGTTCCCCCCACAGCCAGTGAAGGCCATGGGATTCCCCAGAAGGAAAGGTCCAGCCGGACCAGTACTCGCGGTGAGGCGGACCGGCCAGCCAGACCCAAGGTTCAACTACGAGCTTTTTAACTGCAACAACTTTAATATACGCTATTGGAGCTGGAATTACCGCGGCTGCTGGCACCAGACTTGCCCTCCAATTGTTCCTCGTTAAGGGATTTAAATTGTACTCATTCCAATTACGAGACCCAAAAGAGCCCCGTATCAGTATTTATTGTCACTACCTCCCCGTGTCGGGATTGGGTAATTTGCGCGCCTGCTGCCTTCCTTGGATGTGGTAGCCGTTTCTCAGGCTCCCTCTCCGGAATCGAACCCTAATTCCCCGTTACCCGTTGCCACCATGGTAGGCCACTATCCTACCATCGAAAGTTGATAGGGCAGAAATTTGAATGAACCATCGCCGGCGCAAGGCCATGCGATTCGTTAAGTTATTATGATTCACCAAGGAGCCCCGAAGGGCATTGGTTTTTTATCTAATAAATACACCCCTTCCGAAGTCGAGGTTTTCAGCATGTATTAGCTCTAGAATTACCACAGGTATCCATGTAGTAAGGTACTATCAAATAAACGATAACTGATTTAATGAGCCATTCGCAGTTTCACGGTATAAAGTGCTTATACTTAGACATGCATGGCTTAATCTTTGAGACAAGCATATGACTACTGGCAGAATCAACCAGATACCTAGTTCCTGCTGGGGATGCCCGGGCGGAGCCCGGAACACCCCCCAAAGCCCCCGGAGGGGCAGCGTTGTACGTAGGCTTCACTCTGGAAGGAGCGCACGAGGCGCCCGGCCACAGCGACACCCCCGGCGTACCGGGAGCACACATGTGACCATCCGATTGCCCCCACTGTAGCTCCCCAGGAACCGGTCCGCACGCAGGGATCCCGCCAGTGCCCTCACGGGCGCTGACGGGCTGCGGCATACGGCCCTCGGGTGGGGGGTCCAGACCCCGCGGACACGCCGACGAACGGCGGCTCCCGCGGAGCGGCTCCCCCCAGGAATCTGCGTAGGAAGGCTGGCCAGCGGCCAACGATCCACAGACCCCATCGGTGCCGGCGACCGCGAACGGCCCCCGGGCTTCGGACATCCCAGCAGCAACGGGCACCCCCGGGCGTGTTTAAGCCGGTGCACCCCTGGACTCAGGAGAAACACCGGCGGCGCAGAGGAAGACCACGGGCTGGGATGGGCGGGCGCCCCCGTTCCTGAAGCGAGGCCCTACTGAAAGGGCCTAGGCGCTACCAGTCACAGAAAGACAGCCTACCTGACATGGAAGAAATGCGATCAGGCTTCTGCCAGCTGTGAGCTGACTTCTGCCTTCCACATAGTACCACCGGCTACCTTTGGCCCATTGACACGCGTGCAAACGTTCCGTGGGCAGAAAGTGAATCTGGGGGGGTGGTTTACTATGGGTGGTCCGTGCGTCATGCCGTTTTCCCATACAAAGTGGGCCACCCAGGTTCGCCCCCTACCCGGGCCATAGCTGGACTTAGCGAAATTCGCGATCGTTCCGCCCACCACCTCGACCACCCAACCCACACCACCCCATCCGCCATCCTCTGCTCGATCCTACCTGCCCCCCTGCGCGTTCCGACCAACCTCCCTGCTTGATACTAACCTGCCCGCCCACGCTGGTCGGTCGACGGCGCCGTCCCGCCGGGAGAGAGGGGGTCCCAGGCGAAAATCTATATGGTGGCATCCCGGTGGTCGTGGGCGGACATATATATATATGGAGGTGGTGCACACACTTGGTCTGCACAATTTGGAAATTTGGCGTATCTCCGCGTCGTGCGTTCGCTAAGTCCAATGGCCCCGAAACTTTGTATCATGACGCACGGACCACCCCATAGTCCCCCAGATTCACTTTCTGCCCACGGAACGTTTGCACGCGTGTCAATGGGCCAAAGGTAGCCGGTGGTACTATGTGGAAGGCAGAAGTCAGCTCACAGCTGGCAGAAGCCTGATCGCATTTCTTCCATGTCAGGTAGGCTGTCTTTCTGTGACTGGTAGCGCCTAGGCCCTTTCAGTAGGGCCTCGCTTCAGGAACGGGGGCGCCCGCCCATCCCAGCCCGTGGTCTTCCTCTGCGCCGCCGGTGTTTCTCCTGAGTCCAGGGGTGCACCGGCTTAAACACGCCCGGGGGTGCCCGTTGCTGCTGGGATGTCCGAAGCCCGGGGGCCGTTCGCGGTCGCCGGCACCGATGGGGTCTGTGGATCGTTGGCCGCTGGCCAGCCTTCCTACGCAGATTCCTGGGGGGAGCCGCTCCGCGGGAGCCGCCGTTCGTCGGCGTGTCCGCGGGGTCTGGACCCCCCACCCGAGGGCCGTATGCCGCAGCCCGTCAGCGCCCGTGAGGGCACTGGCGGGATCCCTGCGTGCGGACCGGTTCCTGGGGAGCTACAGTGGGGGCAATCGGATGGTCACATGTGTGCTCCCGGTACGCCGGGGGTGTCGCTGTGGCCGGGCGCCTCGTGCGCTCCTTCCAGAGTGAAGCCTACGTACAACGCTGCCCCTCCGGGGGCTTTGGGGGGTGTTCCGGGCTCCGCCCGGGCATCCCCAGCAGGAACTAGGTATCTGGTTGATTCTGCCAGTAGTCATATGCTTGTCTCAAAGATTAAGCCATGCATGTCTAAGTATAAGCACTTTATACCGTGAAACTGCGAATGGCTCATTAAATCAGTTATCGTTTATTTGATAGTACCTTACTACATGGATACCTGTGGTAATTCTAGAGCTAATACATGCTGAAAACCTCGACTTCGGAAGGGGTGTATTTATTAGATAAAAAACCAATGCCCTTCGGGGCTCCTTGGTGAATCATAATAACTTAACGAATCGCATGGCCTTGCGCCGGCGATGGTTCATTCAAATTTCTGCCCTATCAACTTTCGATGGTAGGATAGTGGCCTACCATGGTGGCAACGGGTAACGGGGAATTAGGGTTCGATTCCGGAGAGGGAGCCTGAGAAACGGCTACCACATCCAAGGAAGGCAGCAGGCGCGCAAATTACCCAATCCCGACACGGGGAGGTAGTGACAATAAATACTGATACGGGGCTCTTTTGGGTCTCGTAATTGGAATGAGTACAATTTAAATCCCTTAACGAGGAACAATTGGAGGGCAAGTCTGGTGCCAGCAGCCGCGGTAATTCCAGCTCCAATAGCGTATATTAAAGTTGTTGCAGTTAAAAAGCTCGTAGTTGAACCTTGGGTCTGGCTGGCCGGTCCGCCTCACCGCGAGTACTGGTCCGGCTGGACCTTTCCTTCTGGGGAATCCCATGGCCTTCACTGGCTGTGGGGGGAACCAGGACTTTTACTGTGAAAAAATTAGAGTGTTCAAAGCAGGCCTTTGCTCGAATACATTAGCATGGAATAATAGAATAGGACGTGTGGTTCTATTTTGTTGGTTTCTAGGACCGCCGTAATGATTAATAGGGATAGTCGGGGGCGTCAGTATTCAGCTGTCAGAGGTGAAATTCTTGGATTTGCTGAAGACTAACTACTGCGAAAGCATTCGCCAAGGATGTTTTCATTAATCAGGGAACGAAAGTTAGGGGATCGAAGACGATCAGATACCGTCGTAGTCTTAACCATAAACTATGCCGACTAGGGATCGGACGGTGTTTCTATTATGACCCGTTCGGCACCTTACGAGAAATCAAAGTTTTTGGGTTCTGGGGGGAGTATGGTCGCAAGGCTGAAACTTAAAGAAATTGACGGAAGGGCACCACCAGGCGTGGAGCCTGCGGCTTAATTTGACTCAACACGGGGAAACTCACCAGGTCCAGACAAAATAAGGATTGACAGATTGAGAGCTCTTTCTTGATCTTTTGGATGGTGGTGCATGGCCGTTCTTAGTTGGTGGAGTGATTTGTCTGCTTAATTGCGATAACGAACGAGACCTCGGCCCTTAAATAGCCCGGTCCGCATTTGCGGGCCGCTGGCTTCTTAGGGGGACTATCGGCTCAAGCCGATGGAAGTGCGCGGCAATAACAGGTCTGTGATGCCCTTAGATGTTCTGGGCCGCACGCGCGCTACACTGACAGGGCCAGCGAGTACATCACCTTGGCCGAGAGGTCTGGGTAATCTTGTTAAACCCTGTCGTGCTGGGGATAGAGCATTGCAATTATTGCTCTTCAACGAGGAATGCCTAGTAGGCACGAGTCATCAGCTCGTGCCGATTACGTCCCTGCCCTTTGTACACACCGCCCGTCGCTACTACCGATTGAATGGCTCGGTGAGG